TCCTTCTCGTGCTAGGGAGTTTCCCTAGACTTGGGAGGGGTTTAGGGAGGCTAGAGAGAAGTTAGAGAGAGAGAAAGAGAGGTTATGGTGTGAAGAAAATATGAAGGATTCATCCTTTATTTATAGGGTTTTATCGTAGAGTAGTCTCTAAGCTTCATCCGTATCTTCCGCGTACGAGCTCTGTTTTCTACGTTATTTATATCCACGCGTTGGTATTTACGAGTACTACAACTTTCATTTAGACCCCGTCGGCTAATTCTCCTTCTATCTCAGATTTACAAAAACTATATCGTATTTATCGCGCACAAAGAGTAGCGACTAAGCTTTGTCCATATCTTTCGCATACGAGCTCCGTTTCTGACGTTATTTATATTCATGCGTTGGTATTTACGAGTACTACAACTTTCATTTAGACCCCGTTAGCTAATTCTCATTCTATCTTGGATTTACAAAACTGTATCGAATTCGCCGCGCTCGAAAAGTAGAGACTAAGCTTCGTCCATAACGTTCGCATACGAGCTTTGTTTTTGACGTTATTTATATCCACGCATAGGTAAAAATAAAATCTACAACTTTCATTTTTACTCCGTCGGCTAATTCTCGACCGATCTTAAATTTAACAGTAGGAGGAGATTATACTGTTAAATGTCCGCATAAAATTCATAACTTCTACATACGGACTCCGTTTTCGTCTGTTTTTTTACCGTTGAGTTCCTATTAATGATATATTTAACTCTCATTTAGGTCGCGTAGGCCAAAAACTGCTCGAACTAAAATTCGAGTTTCAGGCCATGCACTGCTATGCCAAATCTTAGAAAATTCATAACTTCCTCATACGAAGTCAGATTTGGGCGTTCTTTTTTATGGATGTTCTCGGCTTAACATATTCTACGACTTTCGTTTAGATCAATAAGGCTAAAAGTCGCTCTATCGTAAATTTACTATTTACGTTTCCCGGTGCTGTGTCGGTTTTGCCGAAAAACTTCGACGGGCCATAACTTCTTCGTTATAACTCGGATTTCGGCGTTCTTTATATGTACGGAACCCTTGTAACATATACTACAACTTGGTTAAGATTAATCCTTCTAAATAACATTCCATAAAAAACTCAATTTTGATGCTCATCGTCTCTAAATTGACTAGCCCAGATCTGCGGGCGTTACAGTCTAGCTGAGTGAAGACATCCTCTAATCCACATTTTCCACTTCTCTCCAAACCCAAGTTGAGCAAGGATCGATTCTAGATATTCCCAATTTATGGAGTTGAAGGCTTTCTCAAACTCAACCTTGAACAAAAGAACTTGTTTTTTTAACTTTCTTTGCCCAGGCACATAATTCATTAACTATTAATGGTCCATCTAATATATTTCATCCCTCCACATACGCTGATTGAGCTTCCCCAATATTCTGGTCTATTACCCTTTTAAGTCTATTAGCTAAAATCTTAGAGATTATCTTGTATAGACAACGAATTAGACTGATTGGTCTATAATCTCTAAGATGTAGAGGGTCTTTGATCTTTGGGATGATAGTAATAAAGGACGAATTGCATCCCCATTCCAGTTTACTGTATCTCTCAAAGTGTTTTACAAATTTCACAATATCATGTTGTAGTATGTCCCAATAATTTTTAATAAAACTAAAAGTAAATTCATCCGATCCGGGTGTCTTATCTCCATCGCATGCCCATACAGCTCTCTTGATCTCATCCGTCATGAATGGCTCTTCAATTTATGATCTACTACTTGGGTTGAGCCTACTGAAGCTGTCGCTGATGATTTTTGGCCTTGATGGCCAACGTTCCTGAAATTTATCCTAGTAGAAGTTATACACCTCAAGTTTAATAGCAGTTGGGTCTGTTGTCCATTCCCCATCAATAATCAGACCGTGCATTCGATTCTTGCACCTTTTGTTATTGACATAACCATGGAAGAAGCGGGAATTCTCATCTCCATCAACAATCCACTTTACTCTGGACCTTTGTTTCAGATCCATCAATGCTAACTTTTCCAGTTCTGTAATTCTTTGGATGCCATACATTCTTTCATTGATCTCAACAGTTGAGAGTATTCTATTTTCAGATTCAGTGTCGAGTTCCTGTGTTCTCCTTTTGAGTTCCATCAATTCCTTCACCTCCCTTGGATAATCGTTTGCTCTCCAGGTTTTCATTTCATTTTTTAGAAACTTTAGCTTTGCAGCCAGGTACGCATCTGATGGGTTTTGAGCAATACATCATTCCTACGGTGTACATGCAAACCCTAAAGCTTTGGATCTAGTTTGTCTAATAAACATGCAATAATCATCCAAAGCATATAAACCCTAGATCTAACATATGATAATCTGTATTAACATGATAATAAAGTTCAGATCTTACCTTGATTGTTATATAGCAATAACAAATCTCAAATCCTCTTGTTCTTGACTTCTGAAAGCTGAGTGCCTCAAATGTTGCACCTCTAATGGAGTCACAAACACCATGAGCAACTAGGATGAAGAAGAAAGAGAAGGAGGAGGCACAAAAACGTTCTAGGGTTCCCTTAAGGAGTTAGCCATGTTTTTGGAGCCTTAGGGGTTCTTTATATAGGTAGGCTATTAGGGTTTTCAACTAGGAAACCCTAATTTGACTGCTTAGGCCCTAAGCAGTCCATGGACTGCCTCCTTAGAAGCCTTGGACGAATTCTAATGGGTTTCCCCATAGATTTCGTCCACTCCAACTTATATGGAGTCCATTAGCCCAATTCATGCAATTATCTTATAATTACACAATCAGTCCCCTTTATTTAATTAATCTCTTTTAGCCACAAAATTAATTCTTATTAATTCTTGACTAATATTAATTAAACAATATGATTTCTCTTTTAATATATTATTCATATACTATATTAATAAATCATAATTAATCTCCTCTCTCCTTAATTCATCCTATCAGTTGCTATGATGAAGGCAACCCAAAAGGACCATGCTCGCAATCGGGTCAAGTACATACAAAAATAGTTATGGGCTTAGACACTAATCCAATAGCATCTGGGGTGCCATAACCTCTAAACTTCTCCCATGATTCTCGAATTATTTTCTCAAAGCCTTCACGTTGCATCCAGGAATTAAAAAATCGGAATGACGCTTTCCCAAAGTCAACCTCAACAGTGTGAAGACTTATGGGACAATGATCGGACATTTCCCTTGGTAATGCGGTGGCAGAGGCATGCGGAAATAGCATCAAGAAGTTGTTACAGACTAGAAAACGATCTAATTTGCTCATCTTGACATCAGTCCGACAGCAAAAGGTGTATCTGCAGCCCCCATTCTAAGATCATGTAAGTTTTTCGTTTTTATGAACCAGTTGAACCAGAAAGCTTCCGAGGGATCAAATTGGAAGTTATATCTTTCACTTTCTCTCCTAACAGTATTAAAGTCCCCAACAATTACCCAAGTGCCCATCTTCGCTGCTCTAATCTAACTTATTTCCTTCCATAACTTCTTCTTTTCTTGCAAATTGTGAGGACCATATATGTTTGCAAATATCATTTGACCCTGGATCCCAGAACATCTGCCAATAGTAATTAGAAAATGCCTTGCTTTAATTATTTCATCTACCTGATAAAAGCGAGAATCCCAAATACTGAGTAACCCTCCCGATCGTCCTGTAGATGGAGTTGCTACGTGCTCAAAATCTCCATTTCCCCAACATCCTTCCACATCTATTTTGCTTACATCTGTCAATTGTGTTTCCTGCACCCCTAAATACATTGTACGATGTTTATAAGTTAAACGCCTCACCCACACGATCTTGTAGTCTTCTCCAATACCCCTTATGTTCAAGCTTAGAAAATTCATTGGGGAATGATTGTTTCTCGTATTACGCCCATTACTTCCTTCAGTATTGGGTTTCCTGACTTGATCTCGAACCCCACTTCCTTACAAACATTTGTTGTTTTGTCCATTTCAAGAGAGGAGGAGTTTTAACTACTGGTAGCTGAACAATTGGAGGCAACATTCAGATTCTTGTTGAGGTCTATTGTGTTAGAAGTAATGGCCATTTCTACCGTATTCCTCTGTTGCTGTGGTCGAAGTAATTCCTGAGTATGATCAGGTTCTGATAGACTTGCCATCAGGGTGATTGAGGCTAGGGGAAATGCCCTCCCTAAGTTATCACACTGCTTTCCTTTCCCCAGATATCCAAACACTATATTAATTTGGGTCGGACTGATAGGAAGTCTATCATCATTGAAAGATTGAAAAGGCCCAAAATACCCTTGAGGTAATTCATTAATTAAAAACGTATGGGTCGGGGCGGTGGTTTCGGGTACCGGTTTGATAGGCTCCACCATATCATCTTGATTCTTACTGTTTTCAATTACTTCTTTAGTTTTCCAAGGGATCGGTTCATCTGGCACCCCATGACTTTCCGCCTCCCGTTGCGTCTTCCCAGAAGACTCTTGAACTTCCAATATCGGCTCCATCACCTCAGGGTTTGTTTTTGCCGGCGATGACTCATCCTCCTGGATCGATTCTCGGATAACTTTCGTATTGGTCATATCATTTTCATCTTGGCTGATTTCGCCCTCCTCCATTTCACTTCCTTCGTCTTTCATCCATGTATCATCAATTCCTCCCTCCTCATCATCTTCTTCATCGTCCTCCCCATCTGCATCTTCATCATTATGATCATCTCCTTTCTCATAGTAGTCTTCAGAGGAATCGAACCTTAATGGAAACCAATCCTCGTCAAATTCAATGATGCCAAGTTTTATGAGTTCTCCTTCAAAGGCTACAAAAATTTCCTCGTTGATCCTCGTCCTTCTCTTCGTGAGAATTCCAATTTTTACACAAGAAAGATCCACACGGTGTTGAATGTCCTCATATGGCGCAATAGTGACCCCATATCCTTTTGTGATTGCTTCAAAGTTATTTCCCCCCATAGGTGCATGGGAAGCCCCACAATTCTGATCCACACCACCCTGTCAAATTTTACTTGCATCCTATCTCCCCATTCTACCCACTTCAGATGTTCCCCCATCTATTTTTATTGTCTTTACACTTCTTAGCAGTAATCGAGTCAGAAAACATCAATAACTCTTTGAGTCCTCCAACATATTTGATCTTCAAGCTTGCATCATCATTGATATCCAACAACTTAGGAAGATGCCCCAAGTGATTTAAAGAGATTGCTTCTCCAATGAGTGAAATTTTCCACAACCATCTTTGCATACCATGTTCTCTGTGTATTACAATATGTGGGGGAGGTGGTGGCGGCGGTGGTGGTGGGGGTGGTTGTGGGCGAGATCGTTGTTGGCCTTGCTTTGCGACTTCTGCATACGACCGATGATCCTTGAGTCCGCCTATTTGAACTGGTGCTTTCGGATTGCTCTTTATTATGTTATTAGCTATAACAAGAGGATCATTCCTTGCGTGTAACGGTAGATTCACCTCTAGTCTTCTTCCCCGAACTACCCTGCCATCAAGTTTCCTCTCCATAACTTTTACATCCTTCACTCCGACGAACCTGATGAACGCGAAGTATTTAAAAATACATCTTATTGCGATTCTTAAACACTATATCTTTTGTTTACTTGCATTACACGTCCACTTTTTAAATCCGTTGTAGTATATTTTGTTTTTCTTTCCTGTTCCATACATTTTTTCTAAATGTTTTACAAAAGGGATAATGACTTAAAAGGGTAATGTATTTCTCGATTTGTATACATTTGGTCACTGAATTTTTTTCGTCCACATTTACCCCTTCAACTTGTTAAACAGTACACATTCAGTCCTTATGACCGGCTACTCCAGGTTAGCCGGTAAAAATGACTTAATAGGGTAATATATTTTCTCACTTTGTACACATATAGTCCTTAATATTTTTGTACACATTTAGTCCTTAATATTTTTTTTTGCAAAATAAGTCATTTTTGTTTTTGTATTCATTCAGTACTTATGAATGATTTCTTTAGATTTTTCTCATGAAATCTTACGTGGGACATTCATTAATGACGTGTTTGGGCATTTTGATGCTTATGTCCATCATGATCTCGACTACTTGGTTGCTTAGGTCATGCGTCTGCCCTTGCCCATACGTTTTTTAAGAATGCATGTATGGATGTTTTTTTTATAAAATCGTAAGTAAAAATATATTACATTTTAATGGGAGTAATCTTAATGAAAAAATGAACACGTGGATATAAAGATCATTAAAATCTGATATCGTATAAAGAAGTTACGACGTTCAGAACACAAGACATAAGGCAAACCACAAGACCTAAGCCAAACCACAAGACCTAGGCAACCAAGCAGTCGAGATCGCGTTGGACATAAGCATCAACAACCCAGAACACCTCATCAATAAATGTCCCACGTAAGATGTCGTGAGAAAACCTAAAGAAAACTGAATGAGTAAAAAAAGAAAAATGACTTATTTTCCAATAAAAAAAAATATTAAGGGCTAAATGTGTACAAAAATGTTAAGGACTATATGTGTACAAAGTGAGAAACATATTACCCTATTAAGTCATTTTTCCTGGCTAACCTGGAGTAACCGGTCATAAGGACTGAATGTGTACAGTTTAACAAGTTGAAAGGGTAAATGTGGACGGAAAAAAAACTCAGTGATCAAATGTATACAAATCGAAAAATACATTACCCTTTTAAGTCATTATCCCTTTACAAAATTTAATCCATAGGTTATATTCATTAATAGCAATTTTTAGCAAATATCTAAAAAATTGACAATCCCATTTAGGGGTGAGCAAAAAAAATGAAGGTAACTAATCGAAGCGGTACCTGTACTGTATAGGTTAATACATGTCGGTACCTGGTTCCACTAAATCATGAATTCGATTATCGGGACTACTGGTTTCGGTACCATCGGGTCCAGGTAAAAACCGAAACCGAACTAGAGTTTTCCTTAAATTCGAACATTCATAACTCTCTCATAGCGCTCGAATTGAGTTGATTATGCTTCATGCATTTTTTTTCTCTATATTGACTACATGTTAGATTAAAAAAACTTGTATAAGTATCACCTAAGTAGCTAAACATAGCTTTTTGACAACTTAAATTTCAAGATAGTCGTTTTTTCTTACTAGATTTGTGCAAAAAAATTCTTCAACTTTGAACACTCATAATTTTTTCATATGAACTTGGATTGAGTTGATTCTTCTTCCAACAAATTTTTTTTTGTCTTGGCTACATGTTTGGTTCAAGAATAAACTGATTTGTTTAGTATAGACTGAGGTAAATGAAACATCTCTATCATATGGTGATTTTAAAATGGTTTTAAAATCAAGTTTTCATCCCAAAATCAGAGTTTAAGTTTTAAAACATGTATGGATAAACGTTCGATGGCAATTCAAGTTTAGTTCAAAATATAACATAAGGCATGTAGATGCCTCATGAGAATACTCGAGGTCAACTCTTCGAGTGTAAATGATGATAGCAATCATCCATACTCAAAGTTGAATTTCCAAAATAGTTTAAATCAACAAAACACTTCAACACCCTTATAGCAAGTTCAAAGTAATATCCTAGACTTAGGAAACATATCAAAATATTAGTTTCACAACATTAGAAAGAAATACAATGCATATTCTTCTAAACCCATTTCCTATGTCCATCTCAGTCCATTTCTTAGTCCAAATGGTCAACATGATACTAAAAGGTATGTAGCTCCACATAACATGGTATCAGTTATATACAACCCTCCCAACATAACATGGTATCAGTTATGAATGGATAGTACAGAACCCACCATGTACAACCCTCCCAACATAACATCATAATAAGTAACATGTGGACCATGACACATGCACCACACAAACGGTTTGCAAAAACTAAAATTTTGAATATTGGTCATTTGAAGGTGTGGTTGCTTGGCATCACTCCTAATGGCTATTATAATATGAATAATGAAGAATAAATGACTTAGGGAAATGATAAATTAATAAATTCATGATCAATAAAGTTATTGAAAGTTAAGAAGTATCTATACGTTTATTATAGGTGAAGAGATGTAAGAAGAATCTAATTTCATGTGAAGTATTACCAATGTGTGTTACCGGGGCGCATGTCCTATAAACTACTTTTGATGTGTTGATTTCTCTTAAACATGTTTGATATGTGTATCTCTATGTTACTTGTTGCATTACGAAAACTTACTTTTATAAAGTTTTTGAATAAGGATTTGAAGAATCTTAAGGCTTATTATCAATCTTGTTGGTATTTTACAACTATAACAAATGCATGAAACAGTAATATTAACTTTGGTCATATCATATGAGAAAACAATAATTTAATATTGAATATCTTGTGATGAAGTTTGATTTGTTTTTTTAAAATGTTGGTGCATACCGTAACAATAGCCAAATCAGATAATGAAATGGTGTAAGAGGAGGTTCTCAGGTTAGATGTATGCAAACATTTCTCCGAAGGGAGTAGAAAGGTTGCTTGCATAGATGACATTTCACATATAAAATATATAGTTGCAAAATTTTATGTAATTACTTTTTTAAGTTCAAACTGAAAAAATAAAGTAAAGTTTTATTTATCTTCTTTGTCTATTATAAGTTGTATTCCTACACATTCTAGTGTTCTATACATGAATCTAAGCACAAAACTTCAATCCATGAATGTTTTGGAGTTTGGAAACATGTGTAGTATGAACTCTAAGTGAAATGTTACTAGAAAAATCAAGTTATGGATCATGATCTGATGTTTATATGTTGCCTTGAGCATTAGAAACCATTATGAATTGATTATGATCCATCCGTGGAAATATAGGGTTACTAATTCCATTAAGTCCATGAGCTAAAACTCATGTTATGACATTGCTTCTAAAAGCTCAACTAAAGGAGTTAAGGACATTTTTGCACCAATGTCCTTCCATGACTCAACTAATTCATGCATTCATATACTATGATCATATAAGATACTTTATAGACTAACTCCATGATCATAATGCATTCTCATTGAATCAATAGCTCCTAACTAATAATGGAAATGCCAATTCCATTCCAAAGTCCATGATTATCTATTTTCCAAACTAAAACACTTGGGATCACTTTGGATCTATTAGTTTGGGTTCCACAATCATTCTAAATTCATTTCAAAGCTAATTTAATGATCTAGCTTTAAATAACACAATTTTCCAATATAGAAGATAATTTCTTCATCAACTCTACATTTTCCCCAATTCTATACTTAATAACTAAATATTTCTTTAACTTTGCATTCACAACTTCTTTTCATATCACATAAAAACATACATAATATACATAACATAAAATAGAACCAAAACATAAAGGTCAATGTCATAAATGAGTAACATACTATTTGATTTTTTTTAAATTTTTTTACAAAACACCATTATTTTCAAAAGTACAATAAATGGATAATGAAAGACTTAATTTGGGAAATTCTATACGTACCCCAAGGTGCTTAATGTATCCCCTTGTGAGTGGAACATAAATTTCCAATTGCTTAACCAATGATTGTACCTTTAAAAATTGGTGTTTTGTGAATAAAAAAAAATTGTTACCCATTTATTATGATATTAACCAAACATATATATCATATTTGGACAAAGTTTACACTTTGCCATGTACTCAATGACATGAGTGGTTAAATGTGTCTGCTAAAAGGTATATATATATATATATATAGATATATATATATATATATATATATATATATATATATATATATATGAAAAAGCTGTGTCTGCTAAAAGTTATATACACAAATATAGCATTCTTCTTCTACCCTTTCCACCAAACATTGCTATTCTTTTACAAGCTTACAATCAATACACAAGAAGAATAAATAGGTATAAAAGGACAAAAAAAAATGGTCAAACCTTAGCTAGAAATTATTTAAAATAACTACAAGTTTTGAGTTTGAATCACATTTACAAATCAAACAAACATAAACAAAATCGTCATCATAAACCACCATTTTTTAAACTATATTTTCACCTACATCAAAATCTCTAGAGTTTGGAGGTTGAGTTAATGAAGGTGATTCAGTTTCAAGAGTAGAAGGAAAACTATCTGAGATAGTTTCCCTAGAAACTTCGCCCTTTGGTTGTTGTCTATGGTGCAAGAAGGTTGGTTTTAATGGTGATTTTACCATTTCGACCTTCCAAGTCAACATTGCCACTATCTCTGACATTGCTGGTCTTATGTTTGGATGAGATTGAAGACATAATAATGCCATATGAATTGTTTTCATAACATCTTTTACTGAAAAACCATCTTTTTGCATTCTTGAATCTATGAGATCAATCAATTTTGACCTCTCATATAGCTTCCATGCCTTGCATCATAAAAACATGCAAACTAGTCATTCAAGTGTGTGTTGTTGTAAACCATGAAAGAGCATTTGGATTGTAGAATTTAAATCTTTTAAAAGAATTGTAAATAAAAAAAATTACATATTCCGGGAGGTATTGCATTTCTGATGGCAGTGTAAGATCAGTATTTTTCCTGCAACTAATAATCTCAAGAACCAAAACTCCAAAACTATAAATGTCAGCCTTTTCAGACAATTCCCCTCTGATTGCATATTCAGGGGCTGTATAACCTCTACAAATCACAAAAACCTTGTTGTCATTTTCTCAAATATTTGTTATTTAGACATCGCTTAATGATAAAAAAAAAAACTTACAATGTTCCAGCTAATGTGGCACTGAGATATGCTTGGTTTTCAGGGAAGAATCTAGCAAGACCAAAATCTCCAATTCTTGGATGAAAATTTCCATCAAGGAGAATATTGCTTGCTTTAATATCTCTATGAACAATTCTGAGGTGTGACTCTTCATGTAGATACTGTAAACCCCTAGCAATTCCCAATATAATTTGGAATCTCATGTTCCAATTCAAGTATTGGTTGCTTTTTCCTATTTATAAAATCAATGGTTAAAAACAAAATAGGAGTCTAAACTCTTATGCATTATGTTAGAATGGAATTTAAGGTTATTATAGTGTTATGCTACCATAAATAATGAGGTCTAAACTCCTGTTCTTCATGTATTCATATACAAGTACTCTTTGAGGTCCTTCAGAGCAACAACCAAGAAGGCGTAAAAGGTTCTTGTGTTGTATGCTTGTGATCATTCTCACTTCTGCAAGAAACTCTTCTTCTCCTTGTTGTGATTTTTCAAGAGATAGTTTCTTTATAGCAACCAATCTTCCATCTTGTAACTTACCCTATAAAAAACCACTTTAATTTACTTATCTTAAACCAATCGGCTATAATTTTGATTCAAATCAACAAAAACAACTTTTTCAATTTCAAGGGAACAAACCAGATACACGGGTCCAAATCCACCTTCTCCAAGAAGATTACGCTCATCAAAATTCTTAGATGCTTCCTTCAATGTTCGAAAGCTAAAATAGCTTATTGTTTGAAGTTTTCCACTAAAATAGTCTTTTGCAGCTGCAGTTCTCAAGAGAATATTTTGTTGTCAATGCACAAAGGACCTTAAAGATCATAAATTATAGAATATGGAAAACATATTGAGATAAAAATACAACCTTTACAGCTGTCTTCACGTTTTACACACTTTCCTAGTTGTGCTGTTCTGATTGATTTCCGGAAGGCGAAAATAATAATCAGCAAAATTAGGAACAAGACTAAGCCTCCGATGATGAAGAATACGCCCCATGTGTGATGCTTCATAGATAAGTTGTCTTGCTGAAGTATTTCTGCTTTAAAGAAAGATAATATTCTGTTCTTATCAAGTAAGCAACTTTTGATAATTATATGAACATATCTTCATTACAGTTTAACATATAATCAGAATCTTCAATTACCAGGTGTCTTAAAAGCAGACGTCATTTACACCGAGAAAAGATTATAGTACTAAATTTGAACCTTGTAATGTTCTATACTTGTAATATTGATGACTACTTTGAATAAGAAGGTAAACAAGTTGTAAGCTGTTAACCCATGTCTTTTAGAACAGACACAATATCACTTTCTTGAAATTCCATGACAATAGGATTTCATCATATGGCTCAAACATCGACATCCCAAATCTGTTAAATTTCTCCAACTGCGCATTTACTCAATAAAGACTAAAAAAAGCACAAACTAGGAATGTACAATGAGAATCATGATAAATACCTTGAAGTGTGCGACGCATTTCTCCTTATCCAATCGTTATCGTCTCTATATCCTCCAATACCTCATTAGCAGGGTAAAATGGCGAGTAAGTTGAGAAACTAGCTTCTCCGATACCAATAACTTTTTCTGTTTGTCTTCATATATTGAGACATGTAACAGAGAAAAGGGGAGGTGACTAACGACAAAGCCGAGATGATCGAAGCAGAATAACATATTATCGGAGATTTCAAAGTGTAGTATATCTGAAGAAGGGTGTATGGAGTTTAGTAAAAGACTACAAAAGGATTGTCTTGTTGTTGAAGACGGCAAATCAACAGAAGGGGTCAGGATCATGAAGGAAAATAGTTGTGAACGTGTGATTGGATTTGCGAATAGAATAATGATATTAATTGGAGGAAACGGAAGATTGTTATCCTGATCTCGGACTTCTAGCGACAGCAGTAGCAGTGACCATAGAATTGTTCAGAACCGGAGTTTCATTGAAGGGAGAAAGTGGAAGAGAGAAAGCGGAAGAGAGAAAGCGGAGGGAAATGAAACGATCACTTTTCCTCCTAACATTTCCTTTTGATTTGTGAGGATTTGGAAAAAAAGAACAAAATGATTTATTTTCCTTCCATTTCTCTCCAACTCGGAAACACAAAACAAAATTTTGTTTTCCTTTCCTTTCTCTTTTTTTCTCTCATAGCTTTCTTTTTCTTTTCTCTCCTTTTCTTTTGATAAATTCGGGAACTAGGCGTTACTCTTTTTTTTTTTCCTTAAATTATAAATAATAAATAAATTAAAAGATAAACCTATCAACTATAATAAATAAATGACGTATCAATCTCTCATTAGTATTGATATTTGTCATTTTATTATATTTTTGAAATAAATAATATACAATGTCAATTTCTGGGTTTTTTCAAATTTTAAATTAAAAAGTCACATAATATTTATACTTATATATGTAAACTATCAAATATAATAAATATTATATTAAATTGCAATTAATATGTTTCTTATTTTAAAATTTCATTCCTTATTTCGAAATTTTATTTTAAAAAATACTTATTATTTACATTTTAATATTTTTTTTATCAAATTATATAATACATGAGTTTTACACCTAGTAATGTTAATATAGTTATAAGAAAACATTACATCATAATCGTAAATTAACATTGTGTTTTTTTGTCTTAAATTTGACACCGTGTTTTTCTAATTTGTTACAATTCTGACGACTTGGCAGGTCAACCCAGTTGTCTGATGACATGACATGATGACATGTCAGTTTTGATGATGTGACATTCTGTCATTGAATACTAACGTGTCAAAATTGAAATAAGTTACAAAAAACACTATTTTTTTTCAATTTTGACACTAATTTTTCATTTTTTTTTAATTTTAATACTCATTTTTTTTGTTTCTTATTTTTTCAATTTTGTTCAGTTTTTTTTGTTTTATTTGAAACCATATAAATAATTTTATTACGTTTGAAATCGTTTAAATATATTTTTTATATTTAAAAACCATATGTATTAATTATATTATAACCATATTTTTTATGTATTATTTGGTTATGTGGCGCTGATGTGACATGATGACATGGTAATACAAAACCTTGTACTTATATAAAAATGTAGTTTTTAAATGAAAAAAAATACATTCATACCAATGTTCTAAAAAGTTTGTCATGACGTATCATGACTCAAAGGCTTGTACTTGACATCAAAGCTTTAACATAATGTCATCTTAAGTCATATATGTATATAAAAAGGAATAACAGTAGAAAAATATATAAAATTATTAATTATACATAAAATTGTCACCTTAAGTGATTTCTTACAAACGACGTGGTTCGCTATGACTCGTAAAAGCTTGATGTTTGACATTGGCGCCAAAGTCGTGTCTAATATTATTTAGAACCTTGATTTATACAGTTTCAAATGTAAAAAAAAAATTCCACGGTTTCAAATATTCAATCTCGAACAAAAAATAGAGTGTCAAAAAATAAAATAAAATAACTTTAATGTCAAAATTGAAAAAAGTGAAAACTTAGTGTCTTTTGTGTGCTATTTCCTTACAGTTATTCTATGTTGGTAGGGACAAAAGATAATAAAATCAAACAATAAGATGATTCGTGTAATTTACCTTAAAATAAATGAAGGGTGTTGCTAAATTGACACCTCATGGTTAGGCCAAATTCACACTGTTAGTCCTAGTTTTGAAAAATGTAACTATTTAGTTCCTTATGGTTGGCAATTTGTAACAATCAAGTCCATGGTCCTAACTTTTGTTTCTTTCTCTCGTTAGACCACACCAATGCGACCCTTATGTGATGGAATATTGGTATTTCCCTCTTGAACACCCCTCACATCAACTTCTTGCTGCCATATTCTAACATTTAATGAGAGGTGACAGAAAGCATCATTACGTGAAGAGAAATTAAATATCCTCATATTTTTTCATTATACTTATCTTCATACTCATGTGAAATGGTGACAAGTATCATATTTTGATAAAATTAATAATATTTTAAAACACTTGTCATCATTTCACATGGATATGATGATAAGTAGGAGGATATTTAATTTCTCTTACGTTAATAATCCATGCAGTTGTTCAAACCTTGAGAGCATAATTATCAGGGAAGAAAAAAGTAAAGTTGATAAGCATGATCAAGATGTTAGAAGTCCTAATGTAGAGCTTATATATCACTAAATCTACTTTGAACATGGAGTATATTTATGGTAAGTTTCTATTTACAATATAAGAACATAAAACTATTAGTAGATGTGTTTGTGTTAACAAAATATTAATATTTTTAACATAGTGGTTTCCAAATCTCTTCACAATGAGAATCCACCATGGTGGGTTTTTCACCAATGCACATGGAAGGAAGTATGTTGATGCAAGGGTCACATATATGGACTCTGTTGACGTAGGTGAGTTTTATGTGCATGAGTTGAACATTATGATACAAAAAATAGGGTGTACCAAAGCTGAACCCGTCTACCAACACTTTTGTATGCCAAATTCACTTAGATTTTGGTATTCTACCACTTGGTAATGACTAAGATGTGATCACTCTTTCAAGGTATGTTTCTAAGTGTGAGCAGATAATAGTGTACACTTTACAATAATATTTTAAATCTCCTACCAAAGTTATCATAGAGGAAATATAAGATGAACCATCCCTATACTATGTTACTAGTATGAGAAAGAAGAAAGAAGTTGGTTCTTACAATAAGAGGATATAATTTGACTTGAACAAACCTGTAGGGTACTAGTGTAATTCATATTATTGATGCTACAGCCACCATACAAGAAACTTGTCAAGGCGGTGTAGCTATGCGAAATGGTCCACGTATAAGTGATAATGTGTATGTTTCATTGCATATAGTCCGAATGAATGAAGTCTTAATGAATATTGTATCAACTGGCGTAGGGATTGACTTCATGGATCCAATATTTGATCTTGGTAATCAAAGTCTGGCATATGATGGTAATATTGAGGGAACTATATGGTGAACTTGTGTACCTAATTTGGTGATGATATGGAAGAAGATGTGACAACCGTCAAAATTAGGTCAACGATTGTCAACCACGAACATGTCAAACATCAATGTAATAGAACTAATTTAAAATATTTGACTCTTTTTTATGTAAATACAATATTACACTTTGAAATATAAGTTGAATCATCAAATTCTGGAAAATTTGGATGAACGAACACTTTTCGATATACATAAATGATGGATTAATACGTATTATTGATATATATATATATATATATATATATATATATATATATATATTATTTTGTATAAATAAAACACTAATCAGAAAGTACCCGTAATTACAAATCCTTGGATATAAAGTACGTCGAAAATTGAGATCGTATGCAAAAGTTATGACAATCCGAAGAAAACTTACAAGTCTGCCATCTAAAGACATAATTAACGAAACTTCAAACGCTTTGTTAGGTGCTTTAGACGATGAATTTTCAACTCCGAATAATTTTCCGTAGATCGTAATACGATCTAGTATTTAATTTCATCCCAAACTCATTTCGCCCGAAAAAGCCCAAAGATCGGATTGTATAGTATTGGCTTTCCCTACAACGAACCTTCTAATAATTCGTTCACATAGCTACGCAACTCATTCGGTGAGCATGTGAACATTTTATAGATCAGGAAGTAGTCTAGTATTTGATTCAATTGCTAACTTTTCCGTTTCACGAAGATCTAACACATTCTCGATTTTAGTCGAATCGCAACGAACGGGAATCCACTGTTATCGTACTTGTAAATGTTTTGTTTGCCTAGTTGTAGAAATTGTTAGGTGGATATCTTTACGTCTACGAATCAGGAGATCTAGTAGTACAAAATTCCAAACTCGAAAAATTCATGAAATGTCGGAACTGGACGCCCAAGGCTCGTGGCCTGAGATCACGCCACTCGATATAATCTTGGCCACCCATCATAAATAGAAATGAAGGGGAAAGCCATTTTCCTTACCTCTCTTTCTCTCTTGATCTCTCTCCTAGTTTTCTCTCTCTTTCTCTCTTTCTCTCTCTCACTCTCTCTCTTTCCCTCTCTGATGTTTTTCAGTTGACGAGCCACCACCGCTGACCACTGACACCACATTCTGCCACCGCGAGCCACTGCCTCTAGCCTCTGATAAACCCCATTTGTTTGACCCAAATTCCGGTGACCATCCCTACCTCCGACGTCGGCTACCAACTCTG